TAAACAATTCTCAAGTGGTATCTGACCTTAAAACTGGTTAGTCCAGAAAATATGGGAAAAGTACAGAAAGATGCCTTTTTAGAAACCTGAGTCAGCAGCCTTTCACGAAAATACTGTGATTTGTTACTTCTGTGTTAGGCATCGAAATGGCCATTTTATAGCAGAAAAATATTTTGTGCAGTCTAAAGGGTCATCCTTAGACGTTCTTACAGAAATATCATCCATTGGAATCCTCAGTAAAGCATACTCACTTTGTGTTTCCATCATCTCATGCCCAAAGTTTGATAGATGTGCAGATAAAAATCTGAAGACGAATCAGAAAAATCAAATTAATGATTCAAGAAGGGCCTTCTAGGCATGATTTTTCTTTTTTTTTCTTTTTTTCCAGCTGCCCCAAGACAGTGCATTGAACTTTACTTTGATGAAAAGTACTCTATTGAACCGTCTTGGGAGTGCAAATTTGATCACATTGAAGTTCGAGATGGACCTTTTGGATTTTCTCCAATAATTGGACGTTTTTGTGGACAACAAAATCCACCGACGATAAAGTCCAGTGGACGATTTCTATGGATTAAGTTTTTTGCTGATGGAGAGCTGGAATCTGTGGGATTTTCAGCTCGATACAATTTCACACCTGGTAAGTAAGAGCTTGTTTTTTTCCTTATATGTTTTTTTCTTCCTTAGTTTCTATCTTCTTAGTGCAGGAACTTTTATAACACAACTTTATAATTTTTTAAAGGATTTTCCAGTTCTATTTAAAACCAAGCCTACAGTGCTCTCTCCTTTCAGTTCATAAATTCTGAAAGGAAAAGAAATTTTCCTGAAGCCTACACTAGAGGTAAAGTGAGGTGGCTCAAGGGCCTGGATGGTCATCAGCAACACGGTTAATTAAATGGGCTTCCATTATGCTGAAATGTGTGATTTCAGAGACAGTCTGTAATAAAGAAACTGATTATACATTAAATCCCAATAAACTTGAAAAAGCAATTGTAGTATTGTAAAATGTATCCATCAAAATGATCTTTGGAGAATTTGAACAAAAAAATCATTTGTTCTGAAAATTATAATTTTTAAAGCAAATGGATCTTAGTATAAAACAGACTAATCTCTTTAAAGAAATGCAAATTCCTAAGAGTCAGGATGAAAGGAAAACTGGACCCATAGCAGCCAAATATTCATTTGCAAGGCCTGGCAGTCATTATCTATAATTATGTAATTGCACATTCTATGTCAATTTTCCTTTTAACCTGCTAATAGTTAAAAGGGTCTGTGATGTTGACTGGCTCACTTTATCACGAGTTATCATTTATTACAACAAAAATTGGTTATCACATTTTTAAACTGCAAAAGCATCAGGCTGAAGCCATTTGAGATTTGATGAAATGAAGTCATTTTTTATGGAAAAATGACTACATAAAGCACATTATTTATATATAATTGTATTTTTTTTTCAGTTCATACATATTGTTTTACTTAGGTTATAACAGGCCATAGATGGAACTGGAATATACTATGTAAAATGTGTTAAAGTTTCTATTGCATGTTACAAAGGTAACATCAGAGCAGGGATGTGATGCTCAGGTCAAACACTAAAATTTTAAAAATGATATACAATTAATGATGACTTTCATTATGATAGCATGCTTCATGTTAAATAAGTCAGATATTAACCATACCCTATAAATTAACCTTAAACATTAGGAGTGTTTTCAGAATATCACCAGGAAGCTGTGGTTTTAACTGCACTGTGCTAATATTGGACAGCTCACAGAAATGACAGACATTTGATGCTTTCCAAAAAAGGGTGCAAACATTTAGATGACTTGATTAGTCCTAGCGTTGGAAATGGAGGTGTATATTCTTTCTTAACTGATACTTGAGTCTAACCAGGACCTAGAGAGTGGCACATGGCTTGGTCTAGGCTTTGATAGGTTGTATTTTCATTCTGGAATTGGTGATCATGGGAATAAAGTCTGGGATTTAAATCTGTGGATTTGTAAAGGATGGAAGGTCAACTAACGTACTTTATCAACATAAACGAGGCAGCTCACCTTTCTCGGCTGACTGGAGGCCACATAAATGGTGGCACCCAATTTGCCACTGTAGGTTTTAAACAGCCACTTTGCTCCCCGGGCACTGTTCTTCCCTTCCTGTTATTTAGGGTCACCTTCATTCATTGAAAGGAGGAGATTCTATTATCAGGAACCACTTAATCGGGAGGGAGCTGGAGGAGATGCATTAAGTAAGGATGGGTTGAGGACAGACGAGGCTGTGTTTCCACTCCCACATTGGCAAAGGGACACTGGGCTCCTGAGCGGAAAGCAGGACCACAAACAGGAAACTTGTAACACTTCCATGGCAGCAGAAGCTGAGGCTCGATGGCCCCAGGCCATTGCCTGGTGGCACAAGAATCTACAATTCATTCCATCAAGAGGCAGTACGGAGGAAGCCAATTAGTTAATGAAAAAGGGGGTGGGGATAAGTGATAATTTAGGAAGCTTTTAGGGAAGAGGGACAGGCAGGCTTCAGGTTAACTTGGCTTGCTATTCATTTGGTGGCATGCTTCAAGTAGTGATTTGGGGAAACTGAGGGGGGACGGGTTCCTCAAGTCAACTTCCCGATTTAAGTCCTAAGACCTTGCTGACGTCACCAGGGCACCCAGTGGACTGCACACTGGAGGGGAGGCCTGCCCACCAGTCACCTGGGGAGCTGGGCTCTGGCATGGCCATGAGGAACACCAGTTTGGGAACCAGGTCTGGCTTCCAGTCCTGGCTTTCTTGTTTCTTGCTTGCTATAAACTTTACACATAATCCTTAAGTCCAGGCCTCAGTATTTTTATTTGTTAAATAGGGATGCTATTGACCACCTCCTAGGGTTGTTTTAAGATTGATTGTCAACAGATCCATGCTTATGAATTTCCTCACTTCCTGTAAGATTTCAGTGTTTGGAAGCTATTGTTTTCATTAATTTGATCACGTGTTTTTTACAAGCAAAGGAGGCCTGGTATAGATAATTAAAACAAGTGTCCCCGATTTTTAAAATTACAACAGCTCTTTCTGATTTGGGGGTGGGGGTGGGGCAGATATGCAAAACCAACAGCAACATGTGCCACCTGTCCTTGTCAGCTTTGTTCAAATGGACCTAGGCCTTCGCCTGGGGGTGTTGCTATTTATGACGGAAGTCATCAAACATGTCAGAGCAGAAATGGCAGGGCGAAACCCAAGTGGTCTTTATTATTTTCATGATTGACCACGGTCTGGAATCTGGATCTTAACCTTATAATCTCAGAAACTTGATGTCAGTACTCGTAGGAATGGATCACATTAACCGAGCTAAAAAGGTTGAGTAAACATATGTACATGGGTACATTTATACACATACCTGTACATACATACACACATATAAGCATATGTACATTATCAGTAAGAATTCTTAGAATCACACAGCTCCGTTGTTCTTATGAGTGAATATACATGGGTACCTGGCTTATTAGCAGAGGACTGATAGCGACTGTGGAATCCAAGATGGAAGCTTAGNAGGATATTAGTATAAATAAAATTGACCAGAGAGTATTTGGAACACTGTTTTTCAACTCTTTCAAAAAATACAGATGCCTAGGTGTCTGTTCAGGAATTCTGATTGAGTTGGTCTTAGGTAGAGCTGCAGGCCTCATTATATTAATGTTATCATGGCTCTCCATCAGGAAGCCAGTGGCATCCAGAGCCCTGGTCTAGAAGGAGGGGAAAGAAGACACTGGATGTCTGAAAAACAACCTGTAAGGGACGGGCAGAGGAAATACAGGGAGAAGCCAGAGCGAGGGGCTGGAAAATCAGGTCAAAGGTACCACAGTAGCTGGAGAGGCTGGAGTTTCAAGAATCAGGGAGGAGCCCAAGGTCCAGCTGCTACAGCACAGAAAAATCAGTTAAAAGGAAAGCATCTAGTGCAGGAGGCAGTTAAGAAGCGGTGAGGACTTCGGGACGTGTGCTGTCATTGACATAGTGGGGTGGAGACCAGCTTGCTGAGGACGGAGGAGCTCCTGTGGGTAGTGATGGACCCACATCATGGAAAAGCAGTTTCTTTCTGTTTTCTTTGTCTTTTCTTCTTTAAATGGAGTAAACTGTCATGTTTAATCCTGAGAATTGCCTGTTCTATAGGAAAAGGTACATTTAGAATAGAAGAGAAAGAGGGATAAATAGTTGGACAAGTTACTTGAGATAAGACGATGACGGGTTGTGATAGATACAGGTGGGTCTCAATCACAGAAGGGCGGGTCCCTTTCATGGAGTTCAGGTTGTCCTGCAACTTCCACAAAGATCCAGTATCACTGCGCACGATTCAGGTGGAACTGCTCATAGCTCTACATGTGTCCAAAGATTCTCTCAGAGGTGAAGACCACTTGAAAAGGGACCTCAGAGATGGCTTACAGAAAATGGGAAAGTGAAAGGTAGCTCTGCATTGAGAGATTTGAAGGGGAAGAAAATGTAAGTTTAGGGGAATTGGACCTGGATAGCTTCAAATGATTTACATTCACCATAATCACTCTTTTTTTTTTTAATCTACAAGGAAAACTATAAGACCTTCTTATTTTTTAGTTTACCGCCTTCTAAAATTCAATTAGTGGAATTTCGGATATGAGTGTGTGTGTTGTCTTCATGGAGGACCAAGGGCAAATGAATTGTCAACATATCACATGTTCTACCAACAGCTACAATGATAGCTTGTTCCCTGAAGGAACACTGAAGCGGTTGGGTCATCCATGTTGGATTTAATGACAATGAACTTAAATTAAAATGAGCATAAAAGTATGAATAAGTGAATTCATGTTAGATGGCCATGTATGTCCTAATAGGGAAAAAAACAGTTGGATACCTGTTGATTGATAGAGTGTTATGTAAATCACCACAGGATAGTTCTCATCACCTTACCTTTCCTTAGCCAATACATTATGTACATCTAAAAGAAATAGCCTATATTCTGAAATCATTTGTTTCCTCATAAAACTTATCATACTAGCTCGTCAAGGGGGAGAAAAACAGGCAGATACATCCTATAGGATAATGATTATACAAATGGCATTTTAATGCTAATACATAAATAGGTCCACTTTCTTAAGCATTGGCCTTACTGTTAATGGGCAAATAACAGGGCGAGAGTAGTGGGGGGACCATGGTTTTCCAGGTAATTTCTTGGGATAGTTTCCAATTTTCAGATTTAAAAACAGATCATTGACATTGCCTTGAATCTATCATTATGGCAGATACTATATTTGCTGCCCTTTGGGATAGACATCAGTGGTGGATAAAAGTATTCCTGATTTTTCTTGTAAGAGTAATAATTGTCTCTTTTCCAAAGAGACAGAAACATTTTTAGAGATTAAAAATAATCCATAACACTGTCTTTTAACATGGATTGACCTTTAAGCAATCCATCTTCAGTTTTATCTTTGGAAAGTGTCAAGGTTATATTTTATTTTGTAAGTCTCTAATTTCCAAGCCATGATGTATCTCAGTTCTATATAAATGTTGGCATCCGTGCATACAAGTCTTTAATTTTAAAGCCATCAGGGGTGATATTCAATATATATTTAAGACTGGTGTGGCGTGGATGGCAGTCACTCAGGATGATTACTGGCCATAT